ATAATGTTCAAAGAACAAACCCTTATAAAAAATGATGATGAGAAACAATGAAGACTAGAACAAATGATCAAGTTTTAACAATATAAATATACTAATACTTAAACTACACTATTTTGAAGCAGCTGTGGTATATTCTTTCTTTCTGGAAACAATACTTAATTAAAAACTGCTTCTGTTACATGTATTTTATTAAACACAATGCTAAATTGTTCATATTGCAGATGTGAAATACACTTTCTCTCTGCGGGCTTTTTTTCTTAATCGAATTTTTTCGAAAGTGGTCGTATTGGTCACCCTACGCAAATTTTAACAGTAATCATTTTTAATCATTATCAACAATCTTCTGCTGTGCTACTAAAGTCATTATCCTTTACCAGTGAGATATCTGTAATCTACTTTCTCTTGAATTTATATATATGCCAGATCATCATGGACGCAGTTGTTCCACTGAACTTATTTCAAGCTACTTAGACTGAACATTAGCGCCACCTGTCCTTTTACTTTTAACTTACGTGAGAAAAACTAGCAATGTTGAAGATCACTCACGACTATGTATCACTTTACAGGTCCACATCATATGACAAGTGCTTTTAAATAGTATATTGAAAAATAAACCTTGTTCAATCCCATATTCTTAATCATACAAACGTGCTTTAAATAAAAACACTTTCGAGAGTAAGCTCTATAACCAGGTTAAAGATGGAAATGGAAGAGCAGAGTACCAGCTTTCTTAGGCTAGTCTATTTAAATCACACGGATTTTATAATTGCAAAGAACTACAGCGGTGTTTCTTTAGTATCGCTAATTGTATTAATTAAGTACTAAACATTTTTCTACATCGTAATATATCCTTTTGCCTATCATTTCGTTTTGTTTGTTTTTCAACATCACGTTGACTAATGTTTGCCATCACCTGGCAGCTAGATAATTAGGCTTGACTGAGCGAAAGAAAGAGTTACATGTCTGCTTGAAGTTTTGTGTATTATTTTCATTGTATGTTCTAAATTTGTCATTGAAGGTTAAATCTAACAGACTATATATCCCATAGTACCATGTATATAAACATGCTTTCAAAAAAAACATTCTATTAATATACATTTTATCATTCTTCTTCTGCACGTTATTTTTCAACAATATATTTATTCTAAGCATTAGTTCTAGCTTGTAATTTGAATAATGCTGAAGACTGGAAATTTTTACCCAAGCACTGATATTACAATTCATACAGTGTTTTAAAGTAGTGTTTCAGCTAGCATCATGTATTATAACTCAGCCAGCCAATCTTGTTGTATAAATATGTATATCTGTTAGCCAAAACACAAGCTAACATCCACAGTAAGATATAGTTATTATACTAAATATTATCATTTCTTACTGAATATTTTTACTGGTCCAGTTATAATTAAGTTAACAGTGTCATTAATAGTCTGGTAAATCATGTGAAAAAACGTAGAAAAAATGTATAAAACCCTAGAGTTTGGGTTTTATCGAGTTTTTATTTTAATTTACCATTCCTTTTTTTTTATCTATGCGTTTGTTTACAATTAAATGATATTTTTAGTTTTAGTGTTATGCTTCCGAGTTGTTACTAGTAAATACAACTCTATATTGATTACACAGGCCTGCGATTTTAAACTTCATAAAAGTTGTTTTGGTTTAATAACAGATTATCCATAATTCAGCTACGTTTGTTTAAGCACAAAGCTACACAATGGGCTATATGTACTCTGCCAACCACGGGTATCGAAACCCGGTTTCTAGCATTGTAAGTTCGCAGACATACCGCTGTGCCACTGGGGGTATATTCAGCTACGCAGATTTCTAAAATATTATTATTTTTTTCTATCACGTTAGGATTTTTTATAAATCGGGAAGAAGAAAAAAACTCCTACTTAGATCAAATTATTATTTCGTTTACCACAATGAAAATTTTTTATTGTTATGTTTGTTAACAAAAATACAAGCTGAAGAAAACTGAAGAACATTGACATCAAAAGAATATGCATCTTTATTTATTCCTAATTTCTTTCGTGAAATCTACGTCTTTTAGTCTCAAAACCACATGCTGTGGTCTTTCTTTATGTATTGAGTCTAGAGCATCTCCCGTCAATGATTAAGAGTAACCAGCCATCATGCTGATGTTCCATCTTCCCTGATGCCTCCTCTCCATTTCAGTGATAGCTTGATGAAACCTTTTCCCTTTTTCTTCGCTGACGGCACCGAGATTTTCAGATAAATAGTCCATATGTGAGTGTAAGAAATTAAATTAAAAGCTCATATTACAACACAACTATTAGAATTTATCGAGCATGTTACTGACAATATTCTCGTAATTTGGGTCCTTGTTTCCTAAACATTTGTCAATAATATCTTTAAAGACAATCCACGCTGCTTTTTAAACTTGCCTCATTTGTTCTTTCCACCTGTTCATCCGAAGTCAATTTCCTAATCTGAGGCTCAACAAAAACACTCTTCTTTAAGTTTCGCTTCTGTAAGAGCTGGGAATTGTCCACATAGATACTTGAAACAGTCGTCATCTTTGTCTAAAGCCTTTAGAAACTGCTTCATCAAGCCCAGTTTTATGTGAAGTGGAGGCAATGGCACTTTCACGTTCAATGTTTTTCGATCCTGGTATCAGGCTGACTCTGCGTGGCCATTGTTTCTTTATCTAGTGCTGAATTCGTGCTCTGCTGTCCCATTCACACAAAAGACATGGAAACTTTGTATAACCGGACTGTTGACCCAACAACATCCAAAGGGTCTTTACGTCTCCACAAAGTAGCCAACCATGCTCTATGTATTTGACCTTATTACGAGATTTTCGTACGTTTCCTTCTAGTGAGCAATAGGAACAGATGCATATATATTACAATTGTGAAGGAGAACACCATTTAGATTTCTTTTAGAGGAATCAATGAACAATCGCCACTCACTTGGTTCATAGACCGCAGCTCCTAGCATTGGTATTAGTTCAGCAATATTGTTGCAATAAACCAGTGAACATTCTTGCGAAAAGTATGGTATAATGTCTTTCTCACGATTTCTGTACCAGTAAAATGATGTCCCTGGTGAAAGTAAATTCTTAGCCCGAAGTCTGGACCCTAAAAGCTCTGAAGAATCCATTGGAAGGCCCAAATTTCTCACCAAGTCATTAATTTCACCTTGTGTGAAAAGTTGTGGTTCACCAGACGTTTCAGGTTGAAAACAATCTCTATCATCATTTCTATTGACATGAAATGAAACTGTATCAAG